AACACTAAGAAAACCAAAGAGCTCATTGTTGACTTCAGGAGACACAGCACCGACTTGGCCCCCCTCTACATCAACGGGGAGTGTGTGGAGAGGGTCCACACTTTCCGGTTCCTTGGTGTCCTCATCTCTGCTGACATCTCCTGTACAGGAAACATCTCAGCGGTCATCAAGAAGGCCCAACAGCGGCTGTACTTCCTGAGAGTCCTCAGGAAGTACAAGCTGAACTCCAACCTGCTGCTGACCTTCTACCGCTCGTCCATTGAGAGCCTGCTAACCTACTGCATCATGGTATGGTACGGCAGCTGCACCAAAGCAGATAGAGTGAGGCTTCAGAGTGTGGTCAAGACAGCACAAAAGATCATCGGCTGCCCTCTTCTCTCCCTGATGGACATTTATTCCTCCCGCTGCCACTACGCTATATGAATTTAGAAAACAAGATTACATCATAACATGGGAACACATTTGTTAAAAGATCCTTATTTATGTCTCTAAAATGTAAAATCTAGACTTAAAATGTGGACTTAAAGTGAGATATCTGGAACACTACTCCTTTGGTTAAAATAATAAAAAAAATAAAAAATAATAAATAAAAAAAAGGTGTAGTTCATAAAAACTCATGAAAAATCCTCATTCATACCTCTGGGGTACAGACGCTTAAAACGGAATATCCAAAATGCTTCTCTTTTTTTCCGGATAAAATTTATATTGCCACCTCTTTAGTGGTTTAGTTTAATGGCTTCAATGCCTAGGAAAAATAATGGTGAATTTGGATGTTTATCATTGAAGTGTCTTGCAACAGGGCTGGTTAAATCATTCCTCTTGATCGAGCTTCTGTGTTCGTTAATTCGATCTTTAAGAGGGCGGGATGTTTCTCCTATATATATTTTATTGCATGGGCACTGTATCATGTAGATTACATTTTTAGTTCTGCATGTGATGAAGCCCTTTATGGCAATGGTTTTGTCACCTATAGGGTCTTTGAATGATTTAACATTTTTGGTGTATTGACAATTAATGCATGCCCCACACTTGAAATTGCCATGTAGGTTATGGGTTATCAGGGTTTTATCTGGAGTAATAGGGTCCTGGTAAGCTCTAACAAGCCTATCTTTGATATTCCTTCCTCTCCTGTAGGTTATCATTGGTGGTTCTTTGAAGGTACCTAATAAGTTTGGGTCATTCTGAAGGATATGCCAATGTTTTAGAATTATTTCTTTAATTGTTCTGGTTTTTGGCGTAAAGGTTGTGCAGAAGATAAGGTTGGGTTTATGTTTTGGAGATTTCTTGGTTGTTAAATAGACATCCCTACTTACTGAACTCACCTTCTCTTCTGCAGAACTTCAACAGTTCTCTTTATACTTTCTTTCTTTGAATTTGTTCAACATCTCTTCTTTACTCTCATTATATTCATCATGAGTCTCACAGATACGCTTGAGTCTAATCAACTGGCTTACAGGGAGGCTCTTTTTGAGGTGGTTCGGATGGAAACTTGCAGCATGTAATAATGTATTCCGATCAGTGGGTTTAGAATACAGAGATGTGGACAGAGATTTGTCTTTTTTTGTTACTTTCATGTCCAGAAAGTTAATTTCTTCAGTACTGTATTTGAGGGTGAAACGTAAGCCTGCAAAGTGTCCATTAAGGAATTCTACAAACTCTAGTAATATAGAGACTGGTCCTTTCCAGAGTAGAAATACGTCATCTATATAACGTTTCCAAGATACAATGAATGGTAAATAAGGGTTATTTTGGTGATTATATAGAATTTGTTCTTCCAGATGACCAACAAAAAGACAGGCAAAACTGGGGGCCATTTGGGTTCCCATTGCAGTGCCAGAGATCTGAAAGTATGGCTAAAATTTGGCATGAACTTTAGTTTTTCAAAGAGAAAAATATTTTGATTAGTAAATTTACGTATTTCACAAGCACCTTTTATACATCTTAATTGCTTTCTATCTAACATTCACACTCTGATAATCACGCTGGAAATAACTTAGATTCAGTATCTTGGCCAAGAACACTTTGGGGATATAGGCTAAAGCAGCCAGGGATCAAACTCCCAATCGGTAGTTACATTTATTTGAATTATGCAGGGGTAGTTAGGTTAGCCACAACAACCATCAAGTAACAAATGACAA